CAGGCCACTCGCTTGACTTGCCACGCTATATAGACTCCAACCTCCTAACCTAACAAGCAGGAGACGAACCCAAGCAACCCACCTAATCTATCACTCCGATGCAGAGGAAATGTAGATATATGTAAGCCTTTACTTTCCATTGTAGGCTGTATATGTAACGTTGGTTACCATAACGGGCAAAATGAGAGTTATCAGATGAGAGGACAGGTTGATACCTCAAGTCTTGACCCATTGTGACTGGACTGGTCACAAGATCAGAGCCTACAACACCACCGAGATGTTGTACCGTGTGAAGTCAATATTCTCATCAGAGAATATTGACCCACCTGACCCTACCAAAAGTCGGCACAGGTAACAACAGGCGCCCCAGCCATCAACACCCTCATGCTGGCAATACATTTTGTCAAGAACATCACACCATGAGCGAACGGGTGACCCACAAGTGGAAATTGCTGGCTCACCACCTACACACGCAAGGTATCAAGTCAACCGACGATACGAATGCTCCTGCACACAGAGGGCTACTGACTCATTGTGTTCCTTACATGGATTTAAATAAGCTCATCATTAGACGAGTATCTAGGGTCAGGCTTCAGATAAGCTGATGTAGGATAACAGCTCTAAGCTGGCAGTTTCAATAGGAACATCAATATCCTTTGTAATGAACCCTATCCTTCGTTTAAACGAGCAGGGGAGAGGAGAATGTAAGAGGAAAGGGAAAATAAGGAGAGAGAGAGAGAGAGAGAGAGAGAGAGAGAGAGAGAGAGAGAGAGAGAGAGAGAGAGAGAGAGAGAGAGAGAGAGAGAGAGAGAGAGAGAGAGAGATGAGGGGGTTACAGCAAATAGAAAGAGAGATGAAAGGGAAGTGAGGGAGAGAGAGTGACGGGAATTAGAGCGAGGACCACCTGAAGGACGAACATCAAGGGAGAATGACAAAGTGAATCAGATTTATCCAATACACACACGAGTAACTCTTGCCCTTATTTCCACTATTTGGAGAGGACGGCTGCAGCGAGGCGTCGCCCACAAGGGCAGTGGATATCCTTCCTGCAGCCCAAATTGGCAATGATTTAATTTGTCTCATTTGTGAGAGGTAATCTCCGAAGTAATGCGAAGCACTACATAAGAAAGAGAGATGAGACGTTGCAAGAGGACGTCTGCAACAACGTCTCTGACATCTCTGGCACATGTTGCCTTCATTCGCCGTGATAAAGACGATATACGAAACGCAAGAGGAGAGATGAGAAGAGGAGAGATGAGAAGAGGAGAGATGAGAAGAGGAGAGAGGAGGAGAGGGGAGAGGAGGGGAGGAGAGGAGAGTGGAGAGAGGAGGAAAGAATACAGAAAAGCGAACACATGAAGAAGCTAAGAAAAGAGGAAGACAAAGAGGGAATAGACTAAACGAAGAGAGATGTGGTAGAAGTAAAAACAGATATTACAGTTAAGAAGCGAAATCGATGGAGAAAACACGTGAGATAAACAATCATAGACAAACAGGGGAGGAATGCAAGTGGGAACTAAGTATGAAAATGATATACAAACATTACAAAGATAAAGCGTAACTGCCAGAGAAATGAACAAATAGAATACGGTAACTTAAGTTGAGGACGACACCACCTGGAGCTTAAAACTGTTAATATGACAGCCCAATATGTCTAGAAATATATTCACGAGTCTACTAAAGATTTACAGGCGAAGCCAGAGAGCTAAAGCCTTCCCCCTCCCCCCCTATACAAAATCTGGATGAGGGGGAGGGGAACAAAACACGTGTTCAAAACACGTGTTCAAAAATCATTATAAACCACGAATATTTGTGCCAGTGTGAACCTGTTTGGTGCGGCAAGATGTTCACGTCTTGGCTATTGCACAAGTGTGTGTGTGTACATTTTGGTGTTGGTATAGGCCGTGAAATACCAATATTGCTATCCTGCAATATCCTGGTGCTCACACCGTTTGATGGGGTGACTTTTGTGAAGCAGGATATGATGGCATAACATATATAGTTCACCGCTCCCTTTCATCATTTCATATATGTGTTGGACATGAATTCAAAATATTGCAAGACTCAAAAACTTTGTTGCGAGTCGTGTCTCCTAGGATGGTAGACTGACTATCTTACCTTGAGGAGGTTACCTTGAGGTGCTTCCGGGGATTAGCGTCCTCGCGGCCCGGTCGTCGACCAGGCCTCCAAGGACTGAGGTAGTGTACCGTATCAGCCTCGCAGGCTAAAACGAAGATTGGCGGCACCGACATAGAAAACTTCAATACACAATGCCAACTACACCGTGAGTTTATACACACGGTTGACCTTTGATGACTTTGATGAATACTAGCCTTGTTCCTTTTTGTCCCATCTGTATGTTGTTTATGTCTCCAGGTGTTCACCAATGTCGCCTCCGTCTGCTGTTCTTCACTATGAACAATGTTTCTCTTATTGGCTTTCTAGAGAAACATTAATGTCCCCCCCCCACCCATGCTACCTTCCAGAGAACATTATTGTACAACAGGCAACAATCTCTCAACAGTAACCTTCCCTCCACAACCTTCCAGCAACACTACCACCTCCTCCTCCCTCAACATCCTGCCAGAGGGAAGCAGCCACAGACGGCAGCTGGCCACGGTAGGGTCGGCCTTCACCAGGAGTTACTGCATGCAGAGGCCCACTAAACATACCAGGAGTTCCATATACATATATATATATATATATATATATATATATATATATATATATATATATATATATATATATATATATATATATATATATATATATATATATATATATATATATATATATATATAGCTCACGTATAGCTTAACTTGTTAAGCTACACGTGAGCGCTCCCAGTGGTCGTGAGCATCAATGATGTCTTCAAGCAACCCACCTTACCTATCGAGGCCGATACAGTGACAACGGGAATATTTCAGTGCTCTAATTTGTACTGACGAATCGTACTTTTCAACGGATTGGTCGATTACTTTAAGAAATACTTGGCAATAGAACGGAAGACGGGTTGTCATCCTAGCTATTCCTCGTCCTCCTAGCCACTTCCTCGTCATCGAGGAAGTGGCTAGGACGACGAGAATTGTTGGTTTCTCCAATAATCCCAGCCCCCCCCCTCACCACACTCACCTTCCTCACATCCACCTGATCCTCCTTCCACCCTTTCCCCCCCCCCCCTCCCCTTGTTCCTCGCCTTGCCCCCTACACACATTTCTCCAGAATATGAACGAGAGACAGCCCCTGCATTGTAGACAACACCACTTGTACTGTGTAAGTTAACTTCCTTTTACTGAGCTGCTACTCAAGGTCAGATTACAAGCTGTTTTCGTGGCTTCATCTGCACCGCATTCAGAGCAACCCACAACGTTTATCAGCTACAAATGAGCTCAAACGAAAGAGAAATTGCGACATTTGGCGGAGGGTATCGTGTGTGCGGGTGTGCGTGTGTGACACACACACACACACAACAAAGAGGCATTGAACCACACAACCGATATCTAAAAAGAGGAACCCGGAGCTGGAGCTCGATTACCGGACACACAATTAGAGAACAAAATAAAGTAAACTTACTATGGGGCCCCCTTCTAACTATTACCTAGTCACCCCTTCTTCCGTCGTTTTCTGTGAAGAGATTTGTCCACATATCCCTTTATACAATTTTGGGAAAGGCAGCCTCTCGCCCGGGTGGCTGTGTCAGGTGACAGTCATGGCTTATTCCCAGAGTTGGCATTACTGGTGCACAGTGTTGCCGCCCTCACCGTGACAGGAGCGGCCATCACGGCAGGAGCTCGTTAGAGATATGCAAATATATTTGGCCCCAAATGCCCAAACTATCTCCACAAGCCGTCACTGCCTCCTCAAATCCAATTCCATATCTCAACGATGACATATAGAACCAACAGCTGTAGCACAGAAACCCACACAGAAGCGGGAGCACAGACTTAACAAAATCCTAGTGAAATCGGATAGAAAAATGGACGAAGGTTCTCTTACGTGAAACTTTATTACCAGAAAAATAAATAAAATGTTTGATTCCTGTGTCCAATTTTGACAACACTTAGAATACTCAATATAGTTATGCATGTTCAGAAATTTTCAAATAAACTATTTATAGTGTATTCTAGATTTAAACTGGAATATATTGCGGTTGTTAAGTGGTAGCACATAAATATATTTATACAATTAATCGAACCTATCCTAGGTCTTTCTATGCACAAAATTATCATTACATATCAATATGCTAGGTCATGGTAACACAGTATGATCAAAATGAAATGTTTGGAGGTCAGTCAACACAGTTGACACGAGGATAGCCTAAGAATGGTGTGGTTACGAACACATGCGTATTCGTGTGTGTTGAAGTGTTTTCTCTTCATAAAGAGTGTGGGTTTACCGGCTGAATTTACGAGCATTTGACAATTGTTTATGAGGACGGGCTGATAACAAGATTCGAACTTTTCCGAACAGTGTTTCGTTCTCTTCCTGTCGCCGAATCGCACCCTCTCTAAATTACGAACAAAACCAAAATGCCAAACTTTACCAACCCCATTTCTAACTACACAAAATTATGATACTGTATATGATAATTGTAAATTATATTAAGGAGAATACCGTATTAGACTAAACAGTACTTTTAAATTGATGAATGTGTCTTTGGGATTGGCCGCAGCTTGGACGAGCCTAAAGCCTAGCATCCTCAGGCTAGCGAGCCTAGCCTGAGGATGGTTGGACGTTGGCATATCCATTGTAGCCTATCCTAGCCTATCCACAGCGAGCCAATCCTTGAAACTGTTTTCGTCAAGTGTAACTACAAAATATAACTAATATAACGACTACTATAGTCGGGTTGAGTCACATTTTATAATTTTCTCAACCTGTGTTCGAAGCTGAAGAGACTTCATTAAATTCCTGCGTGCCAAAGCGCTGACTAGACTAAACTTGTGTACTAAACTGCTTCATAATACAGAATATAAAACCACGAAATTTCTATATTACAGTTTGTCAGTCAGTTGGCCGGCTGGCTACTTGCTTGCTTGCCTTCCTGCTTGGTAGATAATCATTCAACTATCCGGCCCACCTCACCAGAGCCAGCAACCAGCCGGCCCACCTCACCAGAGCCAGCAACCAGCCGGCCCACCTCACCAGAGCCAGCAACCAGCCGGCCCACCTCACCGGAGCCAGCAACCAGCCGGCTCACCTCACCAAAGCCAGCAACCAGCCGGCCCACCTCACCGGAGCCAGCAACCAGCCGGCCCACCTCACCGGAGCCAGCAACCAGCCGGCTCACCTCACCAGAGCCAGCAACCAGCCGGCTCACCTCCCCAGAGCCAGCAACCAGCCGGCCTTTCCAGTGATGATAGATGGGTCATGTTGGTACCGTGTTTCCGTCTGACTGATGACACCCCGCAGTGCAGGGGATACTAATGATTGTGATAATCCGCCATATTGTGCACACACACGCACATGAATACACACCCACACCCACACAGGATCCTAGCGGTTGAGTGAACAGCGCTCGGGAGTCGTAGTCTTAGTGGCCTGGGTTCGATCCCCGGCGGAGGCGAAAACAAATGGGCAGAGTTTCTTTCACCCCTAATTCTCTGTTCACCTAGAGGTAAATAGATCGGCTGGGAGTTAGACAGCTGCTACAGGCTGCTTCCTGGATATGTGTGTGTTAGAAATGTATGAAGTAGATATAATAGAGGAAAAATAGATTGGTTAGAAAGGCGGGGTCCAAGAGCTAATAGCTCGATTCCTCCTCCTGTATTTGTCCCTCTTGGATCGAACTTCAGCTAAAGAATACAACCTCTCAAGACGAAAGTGTTAATTCCTCATCCATCCTCACCCCTCATTTTATCTCACCTCCGACAGATCACTCCAGCTTCCGTCAACGTTTCTTCGTGCCTCATTCCAGGTAGCTACGAGACGAGCCTCACTGGAACACCTTGGATACCTTTCAAAGTTGCATTGTGCGTATTTTTTGAGGCGCGGGACTCCATGTCGTGCCTGCATACTCTACGACTGCTCTTACGTAGGTGGTGTACCTTGCTTTGAAAGTCTCCTTATTGATGGTTCTGAAAGTTGCTCGGATTATCGCGTCTAGATTATGGCCCTGACGTTATTTAAACGTGTCTGAAGTTATGTCTAATCTCAGGCTTTTTTTCCTCTCTTAATTCAGTGAGATGGTTCGCCTTTCATTGTGTATGCTCCAAGCCTCCACTTAGATCACGTTGCACTTACTGGTATTGAACTCCCGTAGCCAGTTCTCGGACCGATACTAGAGCATGTCTAGGCCTTCATCGAGTATTCTGAAGACTTCTTTAAGTCTCGACTATTGTCATTAATTTTGCATCATCTACAAGTATTAACACGTAGGGCTCTACTCTTGTAATTATTTAAGTGACACAAACATCAAGGAGTCTAGGACCGATCCTTGGAGGACTCTACACGTTATCCTACGCTATATCTCGTGAAGCTACCTAAGAGTAGTTACCTAAGTGTAGTTACAGGATGAGAGCTACGCTCGTGGTGTCCTGTCTTCCTAGTACTCTTTGTCGTATAATGCTTTGAAACTACTTTCATTGTATACATTGTGTGTACTTTCATTGTGTATCCCGCAAGGGTACTGTGTGTGTGTGTGTGTGTGTGTGTGTGTGTGTGTGTGTGTGTGTGTGTGTGTGTGTCTCTTGATCTGTGTGTTTGTCTGTTTTTTAAAATATAATTGTGTAATGTGCGAGTGGTCGCCAGTGAGATGTTTAGTGGTGTGAAATACATATACGGGCTCACCATAGCCCGTGCTACATGGAACTTTTTGTTCGAGGTATCGAAACTTTAACAAGAACAACACAGGAGGAGGAGGAGAATAGTCACCCCTTACTCTGGCCACGAACAGTGGCTTGTGAAACCCTTGAAGCTGAGCCAGAATGACCTGTTTTATGCAACTTTGGTCAAATTATTGACAGCAGGAAGTGAATGTTAATGTTCCCGAGATCAGTAAATAATGGTGTATATTACTATAAGAAAAAAAATGGCATTGAAAAGTTTGTTTTGAAAATATTTAGCTGTGTAGCTGGCGGACATTGCCAAAAATTTGGCGGGTGTTTGAATGACCCGAGGGTGATGTTCCCTATTAAATTCTAGCGATTGTGACCAGCTTATGTTCATCCCGTACACCAGACCAGTCCCTCTGCCAGTTTGGGTGAGGCTAACCCCCCAACCCGTGTGGCCTCCAACTGTGCACAGGCAGACGGACATGTTCAATAAACCCCTGAACTATATGTTTAACACATCTTTATAACCCTGTCCATGGAGGACAGAAGAAAATGTATATATGCTGATTAGTATTGTAAATGTGTGGCCACGTCTGTGGTAGAAAAATAACTGTCTTAGAGTACAGATTTGCTACGTCCAGTGATTTATAGACCTGTCTGCTGACTTTTTATGTAATGTAACAACTGCTTTCATCAGCCGACACAGTAAATATTAACGAAATGTTTGAAGGCCATTCCTGCCCGCTTGGTAATCACATTCTCACCCCATTTTCTATATTAAAAACTTGTCGTGACAGATTTGTGTAAAATATGATAATGCTGAAAAATGTGTTTCATAATTATTTTTCGGACAAATTACATCATAATGAAATTAGGTGACACGTGTTGATGGTCTGCCAGCCTGGCCTACTTTACCCCCCCCCCTCCCCCACAGGTCACCATACACTCTACCTCAGCGCTCCTCCCCCTCCCCCATCTACCGCCCCAAGGTACGCCCCCCCCCATCTACCGCCCCAAGGTACGCCCCCCCCCATCTACCGCCCCAAGGTCCGCCCCGTCCCGCCCCCCTCAATAACCTTTGACCCAGCCCCAGGTCACCTGACCCCTCACTTTACACTCGTCACCCCTCCTCTCCCCCCCCCCCTCCCACCACCACTAAGAGCTGCCTGACGCGCCTCAGGTTAATATTACCATAATTATTGCTATTATTTGTCCTGTAATTTAAACATTCGTTTTATATTAGGCTAATGTTAATAATGAGTTATACTTTTTAGCAAGGTATGAAGGATAAGTGTGTGTGTGTGTGTGTGTGTGTGTGTGTGTGTGTGTGTGTGTGTGTGTGTGTGTGTGTGTAATTAGCTAAGTGTAGTTACAAGATGAGAGCTACGCTCGTGGTGTCCCGTCTTCCCAGCACTCTTTGTCATATAACGCTTTGAAACTACTGACGGTTTTGGCCTCCACCACCTTCTCACCTAACTTGTTCCAACCGTCTACCACTCTGTTTACTAAAGTGAATTTTCTTATATTTCTTCGGCATCTGAAGAACATCTTCGGTGTGTGTGTGTGTGTGTGTGTGTGTGTGTGTGTGTGTGTGTGTGTGTGTGTGTGTGTGTGTGTGTGTGTGTGTGTGTGTGTGCGTGTGTGTGTGTGCGTGCGTGCGTGTGCGTGGAGGGGAAGGTGAGTGGAGTAAGGGAGGGAACGTGAGCGAGAGAGGATCAGGTGACAGGAAAGAAAAAGAGGAAGAGGAATGGTGTGGGAGGAATGGTGTGGGAGGAAGAGGGAGTGAGGGAAGGGAGGGAAGTGAGTCAGACACGAGAAAGAAAGCGAAAAATGCCGCTCAAACGGTTAGTGAAAAAGAATCCAATGAAAAGACACAAGACGAACTTTGCATACAGCAAATGACATTTAAAACACTGTCGAGCAGGTGGTGACCCAAGGTACAAAAATAAACACTGTTTTTTATCACTCTCTCCCAACTGTTCCTTTGCAGTCGTGGGCGGCGGGGAAACCCTTCATCACTACCCCGGCCTCTGGAGACAAAGTTTTTCCATCTTGTTCGCGTTATTTCCACGGGGGTTCCTTGTGAAAAAGATACGCACTTCACACACTTCTATTTAGCTGTTGAAGAAACGTATGCAAATGAGGCTTCCCCTCAGCTTTCTCTTCGAGGGAATTGAACTTTTCTACAAGTATTCGTAAAGGCGTTTGTGAATTTATATATAAATGCAAATAAAAGTGGTCCAGATTGGCGTGGAAAATATGCGCAACTTTCAATTCGCATTGATTAAAATATTTGCAGGTTTGCCTTGCTCGGGAGCGTCCCTCTGGCTACAAAGGAGATTGTATAATACATATTAATTAACATTGTCCGTAAGGCTTTGACGTTCTCACTACGAATGGCATGTTTAAAAAATCCTCTGATGTTCTTCTGCACCTGACACACAGAAACGCTGGCATAAATATTAATTACATTTATATACAATTTCATATTCTGCCATCAGTGGATATTATATTTTTACCTTCATCTCTTGGGTGCACACATTGTATACATACATTCATGTGGTTTATATACATGCAGATGTATGAATATAAATATATATATATAATGTTACCGAGTATGACAAAAAATGGCGAGATCAATGACTCTAGCTCGGATCTTCTCTACATTTATGTTCTTTATTTGAGAAGGAATTTGAAAACATAACTCTCCATTGCTCATTTTGGAGTTTAATAACCAAGACGTTAACAGATGCGTTCCGTTCACCCTATCAACATTTTCAATGGCAAAGGTGAAGTTGGAACAAATTAGCTGGGACAGTCATACATTATTACCAAACAAGGGAGAGGTGAAGTAGGTGGAATGGGACAATGGACCTTTTGCAGGCGATGAGTCACAATAACGTGGCTGAAGTATGTTGACCAGACCACACACTAGAAATTGAAGGGACGACGACGTTTCGGTCCGTCCTGGACCATTCTCAAGTCGATTGAGAATCGACTTGAGAATGGTCCAGGACGGACCGAAACGTCGTCGTCCCTTCAATTTCTAGTGTGTGGTCTGGTCATCAAGGACCTTCTGCAGTTTGGTTATTCTTGAAGTTCTTATGTTGCTGGTGCAGCTTGTACTGGATATTCTGTCTTGTCCTGAGGGTGTTGGAAAGTATGTAAGTGTGAGCTGGATGTTGATAGTTGGTTTAGTGTGTTTGATATGTAGTGCTTTGCCAATGTCAAATCTTCTATCGTTGTATCTGTCGGTACTTTCGTTGTTATTGGAAAGAATATCTTTGGTGATGATCTAATTGTGTGTAGAAATGTTATATTATTTGATAGGTCCTTGTTGTTTGTGGACTGTCTAGCGTCTTCAATTAGATGTTGTTGTCTTGCCTATATACCGAGATCGTTGAGGCTGACAGTCTTTAATAGGCCTGTGAAGGCATACACAACATTCGTCTCTTTCAAGGCGTTTCGTCTGGTGTCGGGAGAGTTCTTCATGACCAAGTTGGCGGTTTTCTTGCTCTGGTAGTAGACTGGCAGCTCTATCTTCTGGTTGATGTCGGAAGGAGTCACGTTTCCGCCAATAGTGTCTTTCCTGACTCTCTCCTCCGTTCTGAGACCCGTGGAAGAGATGTTGCTGTATAATAGTTTAACAGGTGAAACCGATACTATAATGTTGCTTGTTTTATCAGAGGTTGCACGGCGGTTCACATGGCTTTTAATGATATATTCGACATATTCTTTAGCGTATCGTTTATTAACTGAAACTTGTCTAACTCTACCGAGTTCCTCGTCAACCAGCATGCAACTGGAGCTGTGAGAGAGCCCACGGGTGACACTTGGCGTGTACCAACCAGGCCACTCATTACTAGCATTAAAGAACATTGCTATGTAGCTTTCCTTAGTGTAGACTGTAGCGTGAAAGCCACCACTCCTTTCGGAGACTGTTACAGGAAAGCCAGTTTACTTTCACTCTCCATCTCGTAAATGAAACTTAGCAAGGGACTTCGCTCGAACGTCAGGTTCCCGATAAAGAAGAGCACCCCCTTCAACCCTTCTCCAGAGACGAGAGAACTGTCCTTCATCGCCTCTCTTTCCCAAGTGAGCACCTCTCTCCCTTCCTCTCCAGGCAGACCGACCTCGGTCACCCGTCACCCGCCCTCCCCAAATCCCGCTGGGGCGCCCTTAGACTCAGGGAGACCAGCCCCACACACGCGGCTGTCGTCTTATCAAGGTAAATCCTTGTCCTGCGTCACGGGTGAGTCACTGATTCGGTCCGGCTTTCCTTTCTCGCTATCTATCGTGTCTAGTGGTTGTGCAGTGGGCCATGTGTGTGTGTGCTAACATTCACCTCTGGACAACAAAAGCCAGGAATGGCGGACCGTATGAACGAAATTCATCACATATCTCTCCAATGGAGGCTATATCACCCACGGTGGGCAACACACCCACGGTGGGATGCCCACCCACAGCGGCCATCCCGCCCACGGCGCCCATCTCATGAACAGACCCAAAGCCCCGTCCATGTTAATGATCAACGCCCCCTCCCATGGTAATTACGTCAACACCCATGTTATTGCATCGATTAGCACCCCTCCCATTTTCCTTCTAAAACTCTCTAGACTTCCGACAGATTCCCGTAAAACTCAAAGCGCCATTTCCTTTAATTACTAAAATTTGCATATCAATTTCCACTTACTTTCTTTCTAATTAACTTCGAGTAAGACTTTAGTAAACGTGTTAGTTCCCTCTGTACTGCATTACAAGGTCTTGTACCTGTTTTAAGCTCCTGTAACCGTTCCAAGTTCTTGTAAAGTTTTGTGTGTAAGCCAGAGGTGTGTGTAAGCCAGAGGTGTGTGAAAGCAAGAGCTGTGTTTAAGCCAGAGGTGTGTGTAAGCCAGAGCTGTGTGCAAGCCAGAGCTGTGTGCAGGCAGCTAGCCAGAGCTGTGTGCAGGCAGCAAGCCAGAGCTGTGTGCAGGCAGCAAGCCACAGCTGTGTGCAGGCAGCAAGCCAGAGCTGTGTGCAGGCAGCAAGCCACACCTGTGTGCAGGCAACAAGCCACAGCTGTGTGCAGGCAGCAAGCCACAGCTGTGTGCAGGCAGCAAGCCACAGCTGTGTGCAGGCAGCAAGCCACAGCTGTGTGCAGGCAGCAAGCCACAGCTGTGTGTGTACATCACACACAGCTGTCCCACTCTGCAGAGCCCCGCCAGAGAGCTGCACCACACACGGGAACAACTCAAACCAAGTCAAGTAAACACAAGATCAACAACGCCTTAAACAGCCACCAACTTTACAACCACACACACACACACACACACACACACACACACACACACACACACACACACACACACACACACACACACACACACACACACTACCCACCTTCACATTGACCCACACAGAGGACGGAGGAAAAAAAAAGCGTTCCGCTACGATAACGTTCCAAGGACTGAACGTTTACGATAACGTTTAGAGTGACACCTGCCCGAAGATGACGCACACGAACGTCGCCTGAGACGTGCACTTTAAAGGGCCAGACGCACGCATCAGCAACGAACGCCCCCGGACTGGGTAATTCTGACCCCCCTCTGGCCTCGTATCAACGTGAGTGTTTAAAAGCTTTTGCTAACATATTATCAGACGTTCTTATGTGAAGAAGAGGGAAAGATATCGGGTGTTCTTATGCGAGGAAGAGGGAAAGATATCAGGTGTTCTTATGCGAGGAAGAGGGAAAGATATCAGGTGTTCTTATGTGAGGGAGAGGGAAAGATATCAGGCGTTCTTATGCAAGGGAGAGAGAAGGATATCAGGCGTCCTTATGCAAGGGAGAGAGAAAGATATCAGGCGTCCTTATGCAAGACAAATATAAGATATCAGGCGTCTTTATGCAAGGGGGAGAGAAGGATATCAGGCTTACTAATGCAAGGAAGAAATATATCAGGCGTCCTTATGCAAGGGAGAGAGAAGGATATCAGGCGTCCTTATGCAAGGGAGAGAGAAGGATATCAGGCGTCCTTATGCAAGGGAGAGACAAAGATATCAGGCGTCCTTATGCAAGACAAATATAAGATATCAGGCGTCTTCATGCAAGGGGGAGAGAAAGATATCAGGCTTACTAATGCAAGGAAGAAATATATCAGGCGTCCTCATGCAAGGGGGAGAGAAGGATATCAGGCTTACTAATGCAAGGAAGAAATATATCAGGCGTCCTCATGCAAGGGGGAGAGAAGGATATCAGGCTTACTAATGCAAGGAAGAAATATATCAGGCGTCCTTATGCAAGGTAGAAAAAGAAATGGTCTTGATGGAGGTTAGGTCATGGCGAGGCAGGATGGAGCAGAGAGTACCGAAGCATGTCTTGTATCAGCCCCCCCGACGCCGGCCCTCAACACACACCCCCGTGTCCAGGGCCTTCTTCCCTCCCTGCTGAGTGTCTGCACAAAGGAGACACACTGAGGCGATACAATGGGGTCGAGCCCGCACCTCTGGACTGCCCAGGCACACGCACCACACACTCCACCAGGATATTTTATTTACTCTCTCTATTTCTTCGTCTCTAACGCATATACAAATACACAGTGCATGCACGCGCGTGGGCCCACACACATACATACATACACACACACACACAAACACACACACACACTTGAAAGAGGTAACTGAAGCACTGCGCAGCTCACTTATCATTTTATTTAATTCCTCTCTAGAAACATTTCCGCATGAATGCCTCCTACTCAAACTAGAAAAGCAGGCTTGCATATCTGAGGAGTCCTTCGAGTAACGAGTATCTCTCAAGGAGGAAGCCAAGGGTTAGAGTGAGAGCAGAGACCTCAAAGTGGAGAGAGAGTGAGTGAGAGAGAGAGAGAGAGAGAGAGAGAGAGAGAGAGAGAGAGAGAGAGAGAGAGAGAGAGAGAGAGAGAGAGAGAGAGAGAGAGAGAGAGAGAGAGAGAGAGAGAGATTACTCGTGGAGTACAACAACAAGGGTAGGCTCTAGGGCCTATCCTGTTTCTATGTCAAAGAGGATTAATTGCCTCCTTCATATCAATGTTTGCAGACGATGCAAGACTAATGAGATGAGTCAGTCAGGGATAGAGTGCGATGTGGGATGCGATATTTCCATGATCGTAAACCGTTTAATACAAAGACGCCATAATCGATAAAAAGATATAGAGGTTTCGTAAGTAGACAGGTAAAAATCTTGATGAGTCCTGGTCCAGAACGACAAACGATAACCGAGCAGGTGGGAACCAACCAGAGAAGTGACAAAGGGCGCCGGTGGATATCAGCAAGATATCCAGCCGTATAACAAAACCCGTAAGAATACTTCAAGTAACTACTCAAGATCATGATGGACTACGAGCGCACTATCTACATCTACAACTTCAAAATTTTTTCTTTTTCCAGCCCGTGCCCAGCCTGTAGGTGCTAATGGACCCCATGCCCAGCCTGTAGGTGGTAATGGACCTCGTGCCCAACCTGTGGGTGGTAATGGACCCCATGCCCAGCCTGTAGGTGGTAATGAACCCCGTGCCCAGCCTGTAGGTGGTAATGAACCCCGTGCCCAGCCTGTAGGTGGTAATGAACCCCGTGCCCAGCCTGTAGATGGTAATGGACCCCGTGCCCAGCCTGTAGGTGGTAATGGACCCCGTGCCCAGCCTGTAGGTGGTAATGGACCCCGTGCCCAGCCTGTAGGTGGTAATGGACCCCGTGCCCAGCCTGTAGGTGGTAATGGACCCCGTGCCCAGCCTGTAGGTGGTAATGGACCCCGTGCCCAGCCTGTAGGTGGTAATGGACCCCGTGCCCAGCCTGTAGGTGGTAATGGACCCCGTGCCCAGCCTGTAGGTGGTAATGGACCCCGTGCCCAGCCTAAGGGCAGTAATGGACCCTTTACCTGTCAGTGGGTGATACTGGGGCAATATTTGAGGTAAATAATAGGTTCAGGAACTAAGCAATAATAATTATATATTACTAGCTGTACCCGGCCACCCGCTGCTGTGGCTCAAGCCACAGCAACCATTCCCTGTCCCCCCCTCCCACCATTCCCCCCTCCCCTGTCCCCTCGTCCTTCCGTCCATTCCCCATTCCTCCGTCCCCTCATCTTCCCCACCATTCCCCCTTCCCCGTCCCCCCCCACCATCTCCTGCTCCCCCATCCCCTCGTCCTCCCCACCATCCCCCATTCTCGTTCCCTCGTCCTCCCCACTCTTGTCCCCCTCATACTCCCCAGCATTCCCCACTCCCTCTTCCGATACGTTCCCAAATGATCTGAAGTTCCCATCAGAAAAATAAGTAAAACCGTTGAAAAAACAAAATGAAAAAATAAAAAAATAAACTATACTCACGAAATGAACGGTATGGTAAACAACACAGCTCAATTCCAACGCAGTGTCACACAAAATAATTAAATCAAAATGAAAATAAATCAAAATCAATTGAAATTAAATTTATCAATGCAATCGGAAACATTGAAATGGAATTGCAACATATTTGGTAAAGCGTGTATTGCTATTACGTGCAACATATGGCGCTGTTTAAAAAAACAAAAACATGTTTTTATCTGTCACAGGTGTGCCATCTACATAGTAGGTACATAAAAATGCGGGTATTCGAATGGGACATTGTGTAAAAATTTCAAAGCAATCGGTAAAGAAGTTTCGGAGATTAGTGATTTTGAACAAACGAACATTTCCATTTTTATTTACATAGATTATATAGAACTTATATACAGAACGTCAAGGAACAAAAGAAACGAAACAAAAGAAAAAGAAACGCCCCAGTAATTGTGGCGTTTACCATGCACGTGCGTCGATAGGTTAATACCACGAGTTTCTTAAAGACTATCAGCGTCTGGAGGAGTTATCGAAGCCACCACAGTAGCTTCGTGACCAACCAGCGAGCATAAACGTGAGCGAGTACTCACGCGCCTGCGACGTACTCTACGGGATTGGCAACCCAGGTTTCATTACTATAATCTTGGGAGACTTAAATAGAAATAATGCTCGGGCAGGTAATACAGTACATTAGTTGATTATATTTGTTATATTTTAATATAAACGGAATATTCATGCATGAAAAGTCAACTTTTCTTCTTTGATGACTAATTGCGAAAAATATCGAATCAACATAATAAGCTTTTGTTTCGAAATTTAATAATAAAATTTTGTTTCGGAGACGGAAACAAACAGGCAGAGTTTCTTTCACCCTCATGCACCTGTTCACCTAGCACAAAATAGCTACCTCGGAGGTAGACATATGCTACGGGCTGCTGCCTGTCTGTGTGTGTATGTTGGAGAAAAATAGACATAGTATATATAATAGAGGAAAAAAATAGATTGGTTAGAAAGGCGGGGTCCCAGAGCTAATAGCTCGATCCTGCAGGCACAAATAGTAAATACAAATAGAACATATAAATAGTATATATATAAATTATATATAAATAGTAAACACACACAAACTTTTCATCCTAGCTGCTCCACTGACATAAAATAACTGTGTTGTAGGCACTCACCGCAGGCACTCAAGTGCCACACCTGGAGTACCTTGAGTGACGCCTCCTCTCCCCCACCACCCAAGGTCAGGAACGCCCTGCACAACCACTCCTCAAGACTCTCCAAAGTGTCCTATGGTCTTTCCTCCACTGTTGCTAGGACAATACTCAGCACCTTGCAGATGTTCATAGTCTCTCCCACACAACGTTCATGGTTTCTCCACTTAGCGATGATGTGAGTTGTGTTTTAGAACATTAACACATTCATAAACAAACCCAAGTTTATTGGCAATGTTCAAATTATACACAGCTTTAGAAATCTGCGTAAAACACTTTTTGATTTGAAAACAAAAAAGTTATTTCAAGTTCAAAAACACGTCGAATGTCCGCAAGATTTACATTGTGACGTGTTGGGTTTATCGGTCGTTTGTACGGTAATACAATCTAGTCCATGAGAAGGAGGAGATGTGAGAGTTGTCGGGGATATTGGCTGATAGACAGTGAAGAAGGAGCAAGAGCGGCGGTGGCGCGTGCGTCCCCGACCACGGCTCGCGCCAGACTGGTGGATCTGCTCGCCTAGGTCACCTCTTCATCCGTCTCACCTTCTCCTGTCATTATCATTATCTTATTATCTTCCTAACTTCTTTATCTTCCATATTGCCTCTTTACTTTTCCAATCTTCTCGCTACTTTATCTAACTGCCTCTTGTACCTTTCTCCGCCATATTGCTTCATCCAATGTCGTGATTTATTTTAGGCAGAGTCTAGCTGGACAGGTTAGGCTTGCTAAAGAGGATTTTTTAAAAATCTATCTATAAGGAAACTTTTTCTATAAATATCATGTTATTTTATATAATAGCTTATGATGTCAAAATATAGAAAATAGGTATTATTCATTCTCAATTTTGCTTTGGCCTTTGCCTTAAGACAACTTTAAGATGTCTTTGGAATGAAGGCTGTTGTTAAACATTTGCACATTCATAAATAAATTCAAGTTTATCGACAATGTTACAATGATACACAATATAAATAAGTGTAAAACACTTTGTTTAAAACTTGTCTGTCACTTATTGATGTCACAGCTCTAATTAAGGAGTCGTTGCCTTCAAATATCTCCAAGACGTCTTCCCCTAAACTGTCTTAGGCAAAAGTCAAAGCAAACTTTGAAGGGAATCATTCCGTTTTCTATACGCCGGAGGCCTACGTAACCTGAAAATAACACATTACCCAGGGCCCAAAATTTCGTTGAACAGTGTCAAGATATTATTCAATATAAGACGACGTGATTAGGCTGGTGAAGTCGCTAAGTTACGTTTTCGTTCAAAATATACACATGTATATCATAGGTGTTGAATGTATCTATCAATAAAATAAATATTTCTGATAAAGTTCATTTAGGCAGGTAGGTTTATTTGTACACACACACACACGCACACGCACGCACGCACACGCGCGCGCGCACGCGCACACACACACACACACACACACACACACACACACACACACACACACACACACACACACACACACACACACACACACTCCCCACTAACCTCGAGCAGCTCGGGTAACAGTTTGAAGACCTTAACGAGAAGTTTTCAAACAGTAACCCGAGCTTCTCCCGCTCATACAAGGCCGCCACCACCTCAAGAATGCCGCTGAATCTCGCTGAACAAGAAGGGAACACCACCAAATACACGGACACATCTGGAGGAGCTAGTAGCGGCCGAGACGCCAGTACCACGAGAATCTCCTCGTGGATTAAGACATAATCACAAAACTTACTTAAGACTTGAGATTACCTCTTCAACGTCTCCTTATACTGGGGAGAACTGCCAAAGAGTTAAGAGCACATGTTGCATTTATGTAGAACGCAAAGAGAGAGGGAGATAACATGACGTTGAACAACAGGCAGGTAACAATACCCAGCATTCACTGCACAACATCTATTACTAGACTGGCACATCCAGGAAGAATTTATTTAATTTCTGATCAACATACAGTACCGTCCTCCGTGACATATTTACTATTACCTAAATAACGGGAATACCGTGAGAAAAAGGGATGTGGAAAATTCGTCTTCGTGTCACGATAGAACACATCTGGCATCGCGCCGCAAAATACATTCCAATACATAAGGGAGAACCAGAGTAGGGCGGACCTGTTGGAAGGAGGCCCAGCTCTTCACGAGTACATGCCGGATATGAGACAGAAGGCCACAGTGTAAGAGGAAACATTAGGAGGTAATGGCTGAAATGCCACGCAGTCAGGAGTAGAACCCACATGCCTAGGTAGGTAAGAGATTTATCGAGGGAAGGCAAAAGACCAGTGAGAAAATAGGAATTAAGAAGACTACAGAAGGAATATTGGTCCATACGAGGCAGTTCCTATATATAATATATATATATATATATATATATATATATATATATATATATATATATATATATATATATATATATATATACACACACACACACACAACCATTACAAGTGAAATTAAAAACCCACCAACGGGATACATCAATAAATGTCACAGTTTCGCTCAGTGTTGAAAGTCAAACACCTCTTCGAATTCCTCCGAAGTTGGACTCGTGCCCAAGATGCAACAGGCATTTTCCCTCTGAATTGCGACACTGAGGCGCTGGAACAAGAAGCTTTTCGCTCTCTTTGTGCCACGATCAATTTGTGGCCTATTTCCTTCAGAAACTTCAATGCACATTTTCCCCACGAACCGAGGGTCTCGGAACCGATCGGAACAAAGCTGTGGCAGTGTGCCAGACCTCTGTATCTGACTAGGACCTCTGCTCGCGTGATGCAAAGTATATATATATATATATATATATATATATATATATATATATATATATATATATATATATGAATGAAAACTCACACCCCAGAAGTGACTCGAACCCATACTCCCAGAAGCAACGCAACTGGTAACTACAGGGCGCCTTAATCCGCTTGACCATCACGGCCGTCAAAAGGAAGTGATAGCCGAGGCTATTTGAGCCACTTCCCCGACGGCAACTCGGATGGTAATCTTGGGCATAGCATTTCACCAAATCACCTCATTCTTTGGGGCACACGTGAGGAACACAAATGCGAACAAGCCTGAATGGTCCCCAGGACTATATGCGAATGAAAACTCACACCCCAGAAGTGACTCGAACCCATACTCCCAGAAGCAACGCAACTGGTAACTACAGGGCGCCTTAATCCGCTTGACCATCACGGCCGTCAAAAGGAAGTGATAGCCGAGGCTATTTGAGCCACTTCCCCGACGGCAACTCGGATGGTAATCTTGGGCATAGCATTTCACCAAATCACCTCATTCTTTGGGGCACACGTGAGGAACACAAATGCGAACAAGCCTGAATGGTCCCCAGGACTATATGCGAATGAAAACTCACACCCCAGAAGTGACTCGAACCCA